TAAATATTACATTCAGTTATATTTAATACACATATCGGGGACATAAAAATTTTTTAAAAAAAATTAAAAAATATATCAGGCACCCGATTTTTATAAGGTGACCGATAGATCCCTGACATATTTATATTACACCTATTGGATACCTATTGGGCACCTATCGGATATCTATTGGTCTTCCCGATAACTACCCGATTGGTCCCTGATATATGCCTGAAATATGGATTTCGACCTGTGTAGGGCCGAAGTATCAGTTATCAAGCATACAGATTTTGAGGCAGTTGCTACTTCTCGAAATCTTACTCCTGAGGAAGTTGAAATTCTTAAATTCGATTCAGAATGTTCAGTTGTAGATACTATGGCACTTAAGCATTTTTATATGTGGAATCTTTATGGTGAAAATGATATGAGTATCGAGGATTGGAATAAACTCTACGATAAAAATTTTGTAGAACATTTTAGTCCACCTGAACCTAGAAAACATTTCTTGCGTTTATCTCATTTTTGCAAGCAAGGTTATGACGAAGACAATGCAATAGAAGAATTAAAGGCCAAAGATCTTGTACAATGGGAAGATACATGCTATAATGCTAAAGATAATTTTGAGAATTCAGTAGCAAAAGACTTACGTAAAACATATTCAGCGAATTATTGGGAAACTGTACGAGGACTTTTACAGTCGCTTGATTTTATAGGTATGGACAATAAGCGCATTCTCTCTGATGATCAGGTAAAAGTTGCGTTTGAAGTATCTCGTGAAAAATTTATAGAAATTCGAAGTCAAGTTTTATTGCTCTTTGGCTTTAGATCTTGTACAAAAGAAATACCAGATCTTAAATCAGCTGTAAAGGCAATCAATACAATTGTTGGCAATTAGTATGGTTATACTATAAAAAGCGAACGAAAATTGGTAGGACCTAAAGAAAAAAGAATTTGGAAATATTCATATCAAATTAACCAAAAGTCATATAATAGTCGTGGTTTTGATAATCAAGAAGAAGTAATGGCTAGGAAGTTAGATAATTCTGAATACTGTCCTATAGTTCCAGTTCTTCCATCATATAAGCTAAAGGTAAGTGGTGAGATTCAGGACTTTTTCGATTCTATACCTATTACTAACAATACTACTTTAGAATATGCTGAGCATGAAATTTCTAACTTATCTAGTAATGCGATTGATGAAAAAGATTTACCTTTGCCGGAGGCAGTCACACAGTGGCTAAAAATGCCAGCCCATATTCAATCTACTGATCTTTCTCAAGATATATGTCATTTCGATACTACTATTTCCGAAGGAGGCACAGTTGAGAAAAAGATACCTGAATCCTTAGACACAATATGCCTGCCTCCGGCAATTTCTCTATCTTCAGAATTTCTCATTAAAAACGAATCTGATATAGATATACTTATCCTTCTTTTACAACAAAAATTTTAAATGTCTCAAGAAAGGTTAGAACAATGGAAAACCAAGATTGCCTTTAAATTTCGGGATAATATTAATTACTGGAAAAAAGAACGAGAAAGTATGAATGAAGTCAATTTCTTGAAATATAAACAAAATTTCGAAGCTAAAATGAAGGTCCCTACTACTCACCATAAAAACATCAGGAAATTTTTTCTAGTGAAAACCTTCGAAAGTTAACGTTAACGTAAGTATTTTGCTATTTTTCGATATGTTATCCTTCGAAGGTCTTCGCTAACCTTCGAAGGTTATCGATTTTGATATTTTCACGTGGC